TCCAGAGGTCTATATCAATCATCCAGAGGTCGATATCAATCATCCAGAGGTCGATATCAATCATCAAGAGGTCGATATCAATCATCAAGAGGTCGATATCAATCATCAAGAGGTCGATATCAATCATCAAGAGGTCAATNTCAAATATTAACAGATCGATATCAAATATGAAGAGGTCAATATCAAATATCAAGAGGTCAATATCAAATATCAAGAGGTCAATATCAAATATCAAGAGGTCAATATCAAATATCAAGAGGTCGATATCAATCATCAAGAGGTCAATTTCAAATATTAACAGATCGATATCAAATATGAAGAGGTCAATATCAAATATCAAGAGGTCAATATCAAATATCAAGAGGTCAATATCAAATATGAAGAGGTCAATATCAAATATTAAGAGGACAATTTCAAATATTAAGAGGACGATTTCAAGTATTAAGAGGTCGATATCAATTATTAAGAGGTCGATGTCAATTATTAAGAGGTCGATATCAATTATTACGAGGTCGATTAAGAGGTCGATATCAATTATTAAGCGGTCGATATCAATTATTACGAGGTCGATATCAATTATTACGAGGTCGATATCAATTATTACGAGGTCGATATCAATTATTACGAGGACGATATCAAATATTAAGAGGACAATTTCAAATATTAAGAGGACGATTTCAAATATTAAGAGGTCGATTTCAAATATTTAGAGGTTGATATCAATTATTAAAAGGTCGATATCAATTATTACGAGGTCGATATCAACTATTCGAGGACGATATCAATTATTACGAGGACGATATCAAATATTAAGAGGATGATATCAATTACAAAGAGGTCGATATCAATTATTACGAGGACGATATCAATTATTACGAGGACGATATCAAATATTACGAGGATGATATCAATTATTAAGAGGACGATATCAAATATTAAGAGGGTGATATCAATTATCAAGAGGTCGATATCAATTATCAAGAGGTCCATATCAAATATCAAGAGGTCCATATCAATTATCAAGAGGTCGATATCAAATATTAAGAGGAAAATATCAAATATTAAGGGGTCGATATCAAATATCAAGAGAACAATATCAAATATCAAGAGGTAGATATCAAATATCAAGGTCGATATCAAATATCAAGAGGTCGATATCAAATATTAAGAGGTCGATATCAAATATGAAGAGGACGATATCAAATATCAAGAGGACGATATCAAATATCAAGAGGTCGATATCAAATATTAAGAGGTCAATATCAAATATTAAGAGGTCAATATCAAGGACTATATAGAATATTACCTGTTCTGTGAGTCTATCTAGTTTATTTTTCTTGCCCTGTAAGTTATTCTGTGCCCAGATTAATACTAGATCTAATAAATGAGAGATCTGTTCACTATCAGTGACATCTTCTTTTCTTCCTGTAGTTAGACAAATATATATATCTTAATCTTACACAAATATACATTGTCTAAAACCATGATATGATATGAAATGAATGGAGTTTTACGTCCTACTTTTCTGCACCATATAGGCTAATGAAGACAGGTAATGCCATGAAGAGTGCTATGAGGGAAATTTTGCCAGGGCAGCAGCATTAGTCTGCTCTTTTTATATTTCCAACTGTCGATGGATCTTTAACATGCAGTCTGTAGCACACATGGCCTCAGTTTATTGTCCCATCCGAACAACTAGACGTTTTTTCCATGTCAGTCCCTCTTACCTGCATCACTGACAGGGGAAAACCAGGTTGAAAAATCCAAAGGTATTATCTTGACCTATGCAGGGATTGAACCCTGGAACTTGCGGCTCCTTTGAGATTAGTCACAAAGTAGCATGTTATAAATCTGTATTCCAATATTTAATGTGATCTATGTGTAGCATTAGGATTTTTTTTCTGTACACCTTTCAACCATCAAACAAATATATTAAAATAACTCTTACCAACTATTTCAATCTGTAAATTTGGTAAACTAAAAAAATTTGGACTGACGATGACTTTGTTGATGTCTGATTTGATATAGTTGTCGACCTTGACCTTCATTTCCTCATCCTGGGCGTACGATCGTATACCTAACAATAGAAAATAACGTCATTTTTATCATTCCAGTCCCTAATTATCATTATCATCACTTCAGGTGATTGTTTTTAAAGTGGTTCTTGGTAGGGACAGTTTCTATCCCCTCAAATCTATAATGAACTCTTCTGCACATGCATATTTTCAAAAGAGTTCATTCAAATTCAAAGGTGATATGGGTGTCTGGAGGTAATGAGAATGAAGGTTAGTTCTATGACATGAAATGGAGTTTTACATCCTACTTCTCTGCTCCAAACTGGGTAGATGGAAACCGGGTAGAAGTGGGATATGAACACTTAATTAGACAATTTGATGCCAGACTTCTTGTTATTTTAATTTATTGATTCAGCTGGATGGAGAATCCAGACACATTATTTTAAGTGAGACGCACTTTCTGGGGTGCGTTAGGAAGAGATTGTAACCTTGAACTTTTTTAACAGGACATTCGTATGGTGGGTAAACCATCCTTATCTTTTTCCAAAATTTTTTCTTTGATTTTCTTTTTCCAAAAGTCTAATAATCAGACCCTTTATTCATCTTTTCCCACTAAAAACTGAGCTCAAATCACGGAATCCATAAAGACCAGGGTTCAATTTAAATTGAAAAGTTGCTAAGCAATTAGCTTCTCCTTTGTGGTTAGTTTGGTTTAACAAATTTTATTTGCATCTCCTAACAATTCATTAGCAAATATAATGACCTGGTTTTAGGCCCAATATCAACGCTTTTCCATATGAACAGAGCAATTTCATTTACCATCAGATCAAAAAAAATTTCAACATTCCCACAAAAAATATAGAAATTGATTTGCAGTGATGCAATCTTGATATTGGAATAATCGTATGACATAAAGGTTAATTTTGACGAGCTTACTGAAATATGATGGGTGTATAAATTGAACCCTGTTGAACTCAAGAACTGTAGAACTGGAGAACGAGAAGGGAAAGAAATGTCTGAACACGAGAAGTTCAATACCTAGACAATTGATGGAAGTGAGATTATTGGCCAGGTAGGCCACACATTTCAACGCCACCTCATCCATCTTTAATTTCCTGGCCGTCACATAAACCAGCTTCACATCCTCGCTCCGTATCAATATCCTGTAAATAAACCATAATAGTTCTATGGCGACCAACCCTGGTACCCACGTATAGATTCCTGACAGTGTGGCATCCCAACTTTTTACAGAAAAACCCTGGAATCCACATATAGGCTTCTGATAGTCAGGTACCCCAAACCCGTTGTCAGAAAAATATGTCCCCCAACTTAAAGCCCAAAAGAATGTTTTGCTAAGCACCAGTGTTGCAGAATGTCGAATATGCCCAAAAACCAGAATGACCAGTCTTGCAGGTAGACGATAATGTTTGCCTAATGTCTGGTCAGAAAGCTTACACTAGCACTAAGGCTAATCAAACTCTTGAATATAACCCAGAGTTAAGTGTTGTCTGGTGTCTCGTAGAGAGAAAGCACTTCTTTCACCATGTCAATGATGTACACTAATCATCTCTGATTTCATTTCTTGAGAGTTACTGCTCTTGTCTTGTCATTAAAACAATTATTGTAGCCGTCTCCTTAAAACTTTTTTTTGCCCATTTTTGTGCATAGTGATGAGTCAAATCTATGCTCGAGTCAAATGATCTCAATACAACCTGGAGGGAATGAAACATTTCACCAAAGCATGGAAGAGGGGGAAAAAAGCGCTGCAGTCAATATCAAAAACATGGCTTTGGTCATATAAACAATTTAATATTACAGGTTGTATTTTCTATCTGTCAGTTATTCTAATGTTCTGATGTCATCCAGATCAGTTTCCTTAACAAAGTCTTCTTTAGACAGAAACATCCTTTAATTCACGAGTCACATGGTTCAGTCGATTATAAAAACTATACTCTTCTATTCCTCTTACAGAAACAAAGAGGATCAAATAGGTTGAAAATCAACCACTATTTTGATATTTAGAATTTGTAAAGAATAAATGAGAAGATATCAGAATATGTCAAATTACAGAGCTGTCATTTCAATAATTATATCAATTTCTTAATAAATTTCAGAATATTTACAAGTTTTAATAGTTTTAACATTTTCTTTACAGCTTCAGTACATTTTTTAATACTCACTATACCTCTGTGCATTGCTTCGGATTACAGTACTCAGAAGACTTATGATAGGTTCGCCACAGATTGGCAACATAGGTTTTAAACAATGTTCATAAGTAGTCTCGGTGGTCAAATAGTAAACATTGAAATTACCAAATAATTATTGGTCTGTTATAAGACAGATTGACAAGTTTAAAATTTCATGTATTTGATACATGTTTGACAAATAGTGAAATAAAAGCTCTGTATGTAATCCATATACCAAGAATGGAATTACTAAAAGGTTAATAGAAGAAAAAGATGAAAAAAGCAAAAAAATACTAAAATTTGAAGAGAACCTACCTTCCAGTATACATATAGTCTAACAAATATTGAAATCCCTTGTGAGAAACTTCTCGTAGTTTACAAGAACTTCTAGTAACACCATTCTCTTCATCAATTGTAAATAGGTCGAATAAAAATGGACTGCAGGCTACCAATATACATTTGTGTGCAGGGACATCGTGACGTTCCACCACTAGCGTCACATCACAAAATTTCTGTCCTTGACGTAAACTATTCAGCGTAGATAAAACATTGCTATGGAAATTTTCACCAATAATTTCTAATTCCTCACCATGGAAACCATTCATATTTAAATCTTCCATCTTTACTGGTTCAGTTTCTGCAAAACAAGAATTTTTTTTTAAATGACAATGGTTACTCGATACTAATTTGAGTCATCAGTTACACAAATCAGTAAAATTCACTCAACATGTATTACAGTCAAGCTTCTACAAGCTAAAAAAAACGAAACAAAGTACAACTCTTAACCATCAGTTTTAAGATACGCCCACTTTCCTGATAAATTTTCAGCTATTCTGTGTCAAATCATACTGAAAATCTAATTTGTGCAAGATATTGTTGATTTAATCAAACACACAAAATTTAATAAAATTCTGACATAAACTGTCACCTCTATCGCGGTAACAAGCCAACAAATTTTGACATGTTTTTCCTAAGTCAGGGGCAAAAACTCAAAAACCATTCATCAAAAGATCATCAACTTCGAATTTGTCCAAGATCTCATCATTATAAATGATCACACCAAATTTCATTTTAAATCAGAGAAACACAAGTCTCTATTGCCTTCACAGGCCAATTGTGGACAGACAGACGACCATATACAAACACATTATAATCTGGGTGTATAAAAATCAGAGTAAGTACTACAAAGTTTCAGATAAAGACACCTAGCACAGGCACTAATTATTCATTAGGTCGTGATCATTCGAGCTCTATATAAAAACTGTTATCCATAAAGAAGAAATGGTATTTAAATGAACTTTTTTAGTGTTTGTATTGCACAATGCATATAAAATATACCCCACCAGATAAATCTATTGTTTTGGTAAAATTCATAACAACATGAAAGATATTTCTTATCTTCTAAATATATCAAAATTTTATATTCTTATCAATTCAAAATACGTGACACATATAAGATTTACTTTTCCAACAATTTCTTTGTAAAATTTGTGTTCAAGAAAGAAACAACAGGATGTATGATGATAAAACATCATAACTACACACAATACCCACACAAAGAGTTAAAAAAAACTTGACAAAACATGACCAAACGTGTAAAAAACTCATTCAAAATAAGTCATATTGACATATTGTACTCTTATAAACAATATGAATGCCTATTTGGTGTCATTTTTTTAAGATTATAACACAAACTTTTCTACAGCAGAATAGTAGTGTAAAACAACCCTTTACAATTTCAATGTCTATTCAGTGATATTGTGGTGTTTTCAGATTATTTTCTAAAGAAGGCAGAATAAGTAGTAAATGATACTATCCTACAGATTTCAGATCTAGCTGTCATTTCCAGGTTATAGGGACACAGAGGTCAAATTAAACAAATCTCCAAGTCCAGTGTAGCTATTTGTACACACTCTAGTCCTGATGTAAAATATTAACATGAGTGCAGTCAACTTTAATTTTTTGTAGTGCCAGTGGTAATGGAAAGTAGGTCGTGGCTATTCACACCATGATGGTTCAAGATATGACCATCCCTATCTAACTCTAAATAAGGCACCATTCTTTCAAATTCTTCCTAAAATTTGGACTGCTCATAAAATGTTTTATGTTTTACCTTGATCTACAAAAATAATTTGCTTTTAAACAATATCTATATCACTTTTCTTGATGAAAAATTTGACAGAGTTTAGCTTACAATTTATTCAATTTAACATTGGCAATATCCTCTTAATATTATTGACTGAAGACATTAATTAGATATTTATTATAATATATTATGTGGACAACAAATATCAACCATTATAACTCATTTATTTTTTCAGATCACATTCAACCTTGAAAATTAAAGGTGAAGGTCAAATTAAAATATGGTATATATACTATTGTAAATAAAATCTGTCCTATAAGAATTGTATATCTACTGTATATACCTAGACACTTAATTAGTTAATATATATTCATAATAAAATAAGTATTAAGTTTTAAGGTTCTGATTTAGGCCATCTTGAATTACAGGTTTATAACATAACACATTTCCAATCTGATCAGTAAGAAAGATATTGATATAAATCAACAGTTTTTGAAAATTAGTTTTCTGCATCTGAAGATGAACAATGTCATGCAGTGTGCAATGAGGGAAACAGAAACATTAATCTACTTTTAATTCCCAACTGTCCAGTAATCTATAACATACACAGCCTGTAGAACAGAGGTCTTGGTTTCAAATTCTTAAAAGCAGAAAATTAATATACTATCCATTTAAAACGTAGGTTTTCAACCACAGGGACATGTTCCAAGGTGAGGACATTTGCACTTTCCTTTGAGACATTTGATATGTCAAAGCCAGTCACATGCTGTTAAAAAAAAAAACTTTCCAACTACAATATATACAACATCTCATATGATGACTACACTATACACAGTCTAAATTAACATTGTCTAGGAGTACTCAGAGAATTATTACTATCAAACTATACGAGAACGTGACTGGTATCCAATCGTAGATATACGCTTTCGATATTTGGGGACATCATATTCATGTTGATTCGATTTGGGGACACATAAAAAAACAGGTTGAAAACCATTGGTTTAAAATAACTGTTAAATTATTTCAGTCAATTTCCAAGGCCTTTGAAGAATGCCTAATGTTTGTGCTGCTAAAAAAATCAGGATTTCCCTGTGTGGCTGTTTCTTTAAAAAAACAAAACAATTTCTGGATTTCACTGATATCCCATAATGGTTCAGTTTGAAAGCTTTGTACATTTTAGATGTAAACTTGCAAAACATCTAATCTTTTAAATATATATTTAACAATATCAATTGCAATTTTTTATTAAGAAAAATCTTGAAGCATTCCCATGTATAATATGTTTTTAAAAGTTCCGAACCTAAAATACTTAATGGATCATATCCTATTCTGAAGTCTTTTCACAATTCAACATCACAATTCAACTAAACTATTAAACTAGGTACTAACAGCTCAACTCTGTTTGAAAATATGACTGTTGAACTATAGTCAGTTATCTTACTACTATTACTACTAGAGTTCAGAGTTCAATACCCTGATTGATTGGAAATAGATCAATACTCAATCAATCAGTAGATCTATACTCTATCTATTAACAATCTAACTGTCAGTGTAACTAACATACAATAAAACTTAAACTCTAGTTACATGAGTTCTTCTACTATTCAACTCAAATTTACAGACTGTGTCTTTTCAACTAAAATCATACTAATGACTAACTAATTTCACATAATTAATAGACTTATCTATTGCTCTGTGACCTAGGCCAGGGCTTTCATTGAGACTCGTCTCAATACACCCTAACACTATATTTTCCTCGGACTATTTTATACCACAAACTCTTTGTTTTGGTTTCTCACATCAATCATGTTTTGGGACAGTGCTCTTCTCTCATCTTACTGTACACTTCTTTAAATATTTTAAATTTTAGCTTTTTTTTACACAACTATAAGTAAGAAATCGTAATTTTATAAGTTACTTACACCAAGGTATTCCTAAATTATCTGTTAAAAAGAGATTTTTGAAGTAGAAACACCAGAAGAACAATCTTACAGTCAATCACCATAACAACTCAAATATGTATGACATTTATAAGCTGACCAAATTTTCAAAAAAAGTCAAAGGTCATTCACCAAAAATGTTAAATATGGATGCAGTCTGCCAAATATTCAAAATAGGTCATAAGATAGGTGAATTACTGAAACACCTGTAAAATTGATAATATTTGACCTAGATTTTAAAACCAGATGATAAATCAATCAGAGAAATATTGATTATAGAGTAAAGGTCTAGTATTATTATTATGTTTGGCACATATTTCAACTTAGAACATTTATTACAAAAACATTTGTGACCTGAGTTTACACACCTATATAGGTCAGATATAGATCAGATATAGATCAGATATAGATCACAGATATAGATCATAGGTCAGATATAGATCACAGATATAGATCAGATATAGATCAGATATAGATCAGATATAGGTAAATATTTATGATTATTAATCAGATATAGTGAAGTAGATATTCAGAATCAAAATATAAACAATATTAGGCAGTTACACAGCACAGAAACTATACAACACAGCACAGAAACTATACAACACAGCACAGAAACTATACAACAAAGCACAGAAACTATACAACACAGCACAGAAACTATACAACACAGCACAGAAATTATACAACACAGCACAGAAACTATAAAACACAGCACAGAAATAATACAACACAGCACAGAAACTATACAACACAGCACAGAAATAATACAACACAGCACAGAAACTATACAGACTAAACTTACATTGTGTTGATTACAAATTAAAAGGACAGATTCACTATTTTTGGGGGGTTGATTTAGGTCTTGAATATATGTTAAACTATCTCAAACTAGGAGTTTCACTTTCTTTTTCTATAAATATCTTTACTATATATCACAGAGTCTGAAGAGAAGATGAATTGTCATTTTAACTTTCGAATGCAGATTATTCTTGACATACATGGATTTGAAGGCTCAAATTTCAACAGTGAGCTGTGAACACTATTACTGCAGATTAGCTTAGCTAACAAATTCTTGTTTCTGAGACTAAAGTATGATTAATCAAACAGATGGTGTACCAGTCATCCTGTCAGAAAACATTAAACATGAAAATCAAAAAAATGCTGTGGTTTGAATGGAACCAAGATGTACATAATGAAACTTTCCAGACTATTATCAGTATAATCTAACCTATATAAACCTGAATTAACTCACAGTTAATATTAATTAAAACCTTTTTCAATGACAAGACTTCATTACCAGTTTCAATCATGCAAAATCATTGAAACATAACTGAAAAGTAGGATGTAAAAATGAAATGAAATGAATGGAGTTTTAGGTCCTACTTTTCTGCACCTTATGGGCTAATGAAGACGAACAAAGCCATGCACGGTGCAATGAAGGAAATTTTGCCAGGACATCGGTATTAGCCTGCTCTTTTTCGATTTCCAACTGTCGAGGGATCTTTAACATGCACAGCCTGCAGCACACGGGGCCTTGGTTTATTGTCCCATTCAAACGACTAGACGCTTTTTCCATATCATCCCCTCTTACCTGTATCACTGACAGGGGGAAACCAGGTAAAAAAACAAGCGTCTAACTCACTGAGCCACTGCGAACTCCATTCATTCATTTCATAGAAACATAATGTTTTAATGCTTTAATGCTTGTCTTCATGAGCTATCTCAGGAGTACCAAGTCAGATATAAACCTCCATTTTAATTCTCAGCTTGAAAACTAATCAGATATTTTACCTCTTACTCTAGTCTAGTAACATAGTTTACTTTCTCAACTTTATACCTGTCTAATATATAACCTGTAAAACTCGTTATCAAGATATGAATGAAATACTCGTTAACCTGCCAGAAAACCTGGTACATACATACAACCTTATCTTCACAATATCAAGATATTACCAACTACATCATAAAGAACGTAGAGCCTTTTTTTGTATCACAGAAATTTGTAAATGCAGCAATTTGATTGGATTGAATGATAATGAATACAGCCAATCAGAGCTCTCTACAGAAAATCTGTAAACAACATGGCTATGATTGGTTGTATCTGCTAGCATAAAATCCAATCAAGTCGCTACATTATGTGATATAAGAAAAGTGTATTGATGTCAAGGTATTAGACAGAGTGTATAATATCCTGACATGGTGAAGATGATTGCAGTATAAAACTATATACTATGATATATAAAACATACAACAAGAGAATTTGTCTACACAGCAAGTTTTATAACAAGTTAATTTATGCATCATCTAACAAAATGAGTCATTGTGTAATATAGCAATATTCAGTCAGTGATGCTATTTAATATTCATCAGCAATAAATTTATGTGCATCTCATTACACAGTATGTAAATTAATATTATAATATTCCAGAACTCTACAAGTTAATCTGCAAGACCTGAGCAATACCAGAGTTTGGAACCAACCATTGTCCTAAACCCAATGATATGATGATATTTTTTACTTTTAGGTCTATTGAATAGTAACTTGTTACCTTTCAACCACCCTTACCTCTACAATTAGTGAACACTATTTTAACAACCCTGTGCCAGTGCTTTCTGTTGAATAGTAACCTGTTACGTATCTACCACCCTAACTCCCTAATAAGTCCGAGTCTTTATCTACCAAATAATTTCCAAAAGTCAACAAATATTTCCTTTCATTAGAAAGAAACTTTCAATCATTGATAACTAACATCACGTTCTAATGAATAATATATAGTCAGTTCAAAAAATGATTCCAGAAATAACCAGAGACTTGGTGAAAACTATTAATTATACATTTAAACAAAAATCACAACACGCTGGGTGGAATACT